CCTGGAGATAAGCACAGATTGTTGGTGTGGAAAGTTTCCGCATGCCGGAGGCTTGCCCACACCACAAAGCTCTTGACTAGAAGTTTAAAACACTGGCCGCGGATCTGCATGCTGCACGCATGTTCGCCCTAGCAGCGCTGCACAGCACGTCAGCCTGAGTGACGGCCCACGTCTCAGCTTGTTGCGTACAAAGCAGAAAATGCAGCTGCTCGTGAATTCAACTGCCAGAAAATCCTGGGTGCCTGCCCTGAACAAGCAACAAGACAGGCAGCACGGACTAAACGTCGCGCACAAAAGTCTCGCTTCCCCTCAAGTCTCGCTTCCCCTTTAAACCACGGCGCTGATCGCTTGCTTTGGCTTTGATGCTAGACCTAGCCGGTGCTGCAGCAAAAACCAAATAGTGATCTGGTCTGCAGCGCCACTGTCCGGGACCTGCATGTGGGCACCCTCGTAGTAGCAACGCATAATGCGCCGTCCACTGGTGCACCCCTTGTATTCCCAGCACTCGATCTTGCTGTCGCCCCCATCCCAATACGTCGAAGTCAAACTGGCAGCTGTGTCGCAATCATGAACAGCGGCCCAGCCCTGCTGGACCTTGTTCAAAGGCTCGTAAACCCAGCCCATGCCTTAGCTGCCAGTGGCGGGTGGCTTGCAACTCACCATTGGAAAGATGTGGATGCTAATTACCAAGTCTGCAGTGTTTGAACAGGCCTGGCCCTGCCACCCTACGGGATACCAAAACGCATCGATGCAGCCGCGCTGCCAGACACACCGCCAGTCAAAGGCATCACATCATCCTGACGCCCATGCAGCTGTAACATGGCAGTTTGCCTGCAGTTCTGCCTGTCGCGCACCAACTCGAACTCTGCGCCCAAGCCGTACCCCAGCAGCGGAAGCCCAAACCATGGAGCCACTGCAGCAAAGGTCCCGGGAAGCGACTGCACCAAGAAGTGGGCTAGCATACCACCGTTGCTCTCACCTGTGACATAAATGCGTGTCTGATCGATGCACAGGGCAGAGCTGACCGTGTCAATGACAGCGGAAACGAAAATGCGCTCATCGTAGCAGCCTGACCAGTTGCACTGACCGCATCTGTTTTGAAGCCAGCATGAAGCGTAGCACCCTGCTGTGACCTGATCCGTAACGCAGGTTTGGTCATCACCCGCGGTACCAACGTTCCAGCCAGTGCCCAAGTCTGCGCCGCCTGGGATGGCATCATCGAGACCTTGAGGGAAAACACTCACAAAGCCCAAGTCACGGCCGAAAGATCCGAAGTCCCGGGTGCTGGCATAGTCATCTGCCTGAAACCCCTGGCCATGGAGACCAATGAGTAGAGGCACCGGGCTTTCCCCCAAGTTCTTTGGCACCTGGATGTAGAAGGAGCGGTTCACCGGCATAAAGTCCATGATCATCAGCCACACCCAACCTTCAAAGGCGTCCCCGCTGTCTTCCCAAAGGCTAGTGCGATGCTCGGCCGTACAGCCTTTCGAGGCTTTGGCAGTGCCAATTGATTGTTGCTGCCTCAGCTCTTGCCACCAGGATGGCTCAGAGGCAAGGGTCCTTGGCTGAAGTCGACCCTGCTTAAAATTTGCGGGGGCGTGTGTGACCTGTGCAATGAGAACATGCACAATTACTGCCACCCGCTGCAAATTTATGACACAACAGCTGAGAACAAAGAAACCACAAATACGGCACAATCATTCTGCATTGCTTTGGAAGGATCAAGGAAGCCTGCACGGCAGCAAGGAGGATGGCGGCACGCAAAGGCATGGCGGCAATGGGCAGAGCGATATTGGCTCAAAGGTCAGGCAGTGGAAACACAGGTGCGATTGCAAAGCTGCTAAGTTTGGTCCAAACTCCGAAACTTTAGTGCTTAGCTTGGGCCAAGCACTTGCCGTCGAAGCGTTTATTTCAGTTGGCCTCAATCGCGGCCGGGCGCTTTGCATTGCGCGCACTTTCTGCAACTGCATCGCTCACGAATTTGCATGACAGCCCACGTGAAGGGTGTCCTTGAGAGCGAGTCAAAACCAAAGCAGAGGTTGAAGGAGCGTGTAAAAAAAGTACTAGCAAATGCTCAAATAATGCGGCCCTTTCCTGATTGCACAGGCCTGTTGCAGTCTCCTCTACCAACCCTTCTGGCAGTCGCAGCGCGTGGACTGAGGTTGCTGCTGCTGGTATGGGCCCCAGTGGCACTACAGAACCTTGGCCATTGGCAGGACAACAATCAACATGGCATCATGACGTCAATTCTATTGGCCAAAACCCCTCATTGCCATGCCCTATTTTGTGCCAAGCCTACTGTATCATGTCTGCCCTCGGGTTTCGTGCTGTGCATTTGACGGGGGGCTGCTGGGGGATACTCAAAGGGCAGCCTAGGAAGGTGAGTAGCTTGGAATATGCGGAGGCTTGCGGCTGGAAGAACGAACATAATCATATGTGTTGTTGTTGTCGCCAAAACAAACAAGCAAGCAAGCGAGCAAACAAACGAACAAGCAAACAAACACACCAGCGTGCGGACAAACAAACAGGCAGGCAAATGAACAAGCAAACAAATACACACTGCCTAAGAGTCACACGCAAGGGGGACAGTTCACAGTGCATAGGAATCCTTCCCCAGTGGTGCGCAGCAAGCATTCCGCAAAACCGCACGGGGCAGTTGTTGTTTTCTCTGCGGCATGAAGCCATGCTACCCATGCCGAAACGGAATGTCACCAAGAAGCGCTCTGCCTGCTTGCAAGTCTGATATGTGGTGCATTGGACAACCATAGCTTCTATGTATGCCTGCGGGGCTTTACTGCCACAACAAATTGGCAAGCGACGCATGCCCGTCTTTGTGCCTCATTGCATGGAGGGCTGGCTTCGAAATCACGGGGTTGCCACTAGGAGAACCTAGGCTTTCTGCAAGGTAAGTAACTGGAGTAACCCTTGAGCCCAATGCCAAACCATGGTGTCAACATGCCTTGCTGAGTCAGGCTTGGTGAGGAGGAATAAGCTCTGCTGGAAGTACCCGCGCCAGCTCACTCCATGATGTCATTCTAGAATGGCCCATCTTCCAGGTAGTGCAGCTCACGGACCAGCCTGCTGTGAATAAAGACATGCGCAACTTGGACTTACACATGATAATGAAGCTACCCGCCCCGGCAAACATCGACCTCTATGCGCCCTGTCGTGCCAACATGGGCTCACATCGAGTTGATCTGCTAAGGGGCCGGCAAGGGCTCGCGGCTCACTTGGAGGCTGGCCGGTTTTGCTTGATATACCATATTGAATCTTGCTCTTCTGTTTCTCTTGTCAGTACCGTGCTGTTAGACACATTTGAAGTATGTGCCACGCACGTCTGCGCCCCATGTCTCGGGCCACTCAAATTGCAATACCGAACGCTGAAACTGATGTAAATGAACAAATATTTGTCGGGAGGAACCGTTGCATGGGTTAGATACACCATGTCCCAACCAGTCTGCTGCCACGGCACTTATCTTGAAAGTCCTCGCGTGCAATTCGGCATGGCTTCCGGGCAAGCTGGATTGCCATCTCATCAGGGGAGATCCCCATAAAGTTCCTCCTAAGACGGAGGCGTTAGCCAAGCCACAATGATCAATCATCCTCTCAATGTCCTTGCCTGTTGGAACAGTGCAAATAGCAAAGCCTCTTGGCGTGCAAACTAGCGTGGGGCCAAGCCCTGGTTTTGGCTGCCCATTTGCCAGTGGACACCTGTGACCTGTGGCCTCCTGCCTGAGCACTACAAAAGGTTCCTTCGACGCTCGTCTCTCTCTCTCTCTCTTTCTCTCCCTCTCCCTCTCTCTCCCTCTCCCTCCCTCGCGCTCACTCTCTTTTTCTGCCGGCGCGCCTCTTAAAGTTCAGGTACAGTACGTACCTTGTGTAGTCCTCTTTGTTGGCCATTCCCCAGTGCACCGTCCTGTCAGTTCTACTTGATTGCCCATTTTATGCCGACGGCAACACGCACGCACACGGCCAGCATCCCACAGGCAAAGAACAAAGCAACAGGCAAACAAAAATGTCAAGACACATGTACGCAATAATACAAGGAACCGTACATAGACCTCCAATGGTTCTGGATCCGAGGATGGCTTCATTCTGCCCTTTGATGCCATGCTTCTGCCCGTCTTTGGGCAACGCGTGGTAAATTCGAAGCCAAGGCCACGCCTGGAGTCATACATGATGGCATCGCCAAGCTCCAGGGGAGCTCCCACTAGGAGCCGATGTTGGTGCCGCTTGCCCATCCAGACCCGCAGCTGGCGTGGCTCTCGGGGCCTTCCTGGCTCTGCCTCTTGGTCCTGGTCGGATTTGGATAGGTCAAGTATTTCTGAAGCGAGCGCTTCTTCAACCAAAGGGCGCTGGCATGCTCATCTTTTGAGCAATGTGCAATGAAGAGTCCTCTTCTTTGATTGGCCGGAGCACGCGAACCATCAGGTTTTTGCGAAAATCTGGCACATGGTCTTTGACCTCAGCTGCGTGAGTTCCTCGTGGGCAGGTTGAGGGCAGCAAGGGTCCAAGCTGCTGCTGCGGACAAATGCAATCCCTCCTTGACTCTAGCTACTCCAGCTGCTACTTTGATTATCTCTGATTGACCCACTTGGGACCTCCTCGCTGCAAAAGAAGCCACCAGCAGCCAGCTCATGAAGTCCAACTCGTTAACGTGTGTCACCTTGCGGTGCCAAGTGCCGTCCATTTTGAGCCGGCACCCGGGCTCAAGGCCAATGAGCTGTCACCAGTGGCAAAGCGTAGCTTGGCCGTGCCTCATCCCCGAGCTGCAAGCCCAAGGTGTTCTCCTTGAGGCCGCGGACGAGGCAGCGGCTTTTGCCTCAGCCGCCACTTTTTGCAAATGCTACATTGGAGTCCACCGGACAAATCCGTTGTCCATACGTAGCCTTATCAGCAGCTGTGCATGTCAAACAGAAACTATGCAAGGTGTTCTGCCCAGCATTGAACGCCCTACAAGCCAACATGGAACCACCAACACGTCCTTACAGTCCGTTCTTGTGGGCAAGCGCTTGGCAACCGTGCTGCTGGGCGACTGGTAGCTTTTGTCAGCTTTGCCTTTCAAAAAGCAACTGCCTGATCTTGGGCTTGCCGGGGCTGGGGTGGGCTGCAATTAGCGGGGGTGGTAAATCACCTGTCGGGATTTGAGGATCCATTGGACATTCATAGTTTTCGCTGCCTGCGTGCTGTTGCCTTGCCACCCAGAAATGCTGCAATGGTTGGCCATTGTCCGGAGCTGTCATGGATGTTGCCGTGTGCCTGGCCTTGACACGCTTGCCGCCTCAGGATTTCTCAGTGCATGTCTTTGCCTGTAGGGCTGCGATTGCTCACGGAGCAAGACATGCTTGACTTTCGACGGATGCCCTTAAACCTGCTATCGAGCAAACAATCACCAGGAGTTTAGGCCCGTTGTGCGAATGCAGAGTGGTCTAAATGTAGCCCAGGAAAGGGTTGTCCAAGTCCCAAGTTGCACCCTTCAGCTGCAACATTGAAAGTTGACAGGCTACATCTGGCAGCTTGTCACAGAATTGCCTTCAGCACTCGTAAGCGACTGCGGCACAGCAGGTTCATTTTCAATGTAAGCATGATGATCGACTTGCAAAAGGCATGGTGGATTCTTAGCAAGTTGTTACTGAAAGAATTCCATAGAGTTCCACCAGTTGCTTGTACCTTGATGCCTCGCCAAGTAGGGATGGAAAGGGGAAATGGCTTTGGCAGCTGCTCCAGTAGGATGGGATTTGAATCAGAGGAGCGTCGCAGGCGCACGGCGCTGACGTACATCCAATTTGCCTCCATCCGAAAGGCGTGCCAAGGCACCTCTTCGGAAGTCCACCTCCCCAAGCTGCTCCACCTGCGCTGGGCCCCACTCCAAGAAGTGCTCCTCCTTGGCTGTGGCCCGTCGCTGCCTGGAGAACACTGAGGCAAAGCGTCGAAACTCCGCCAGTAGGGTATATAGGGTGATGGCTTGTACAGTCAATGAGTCAATGTGGATGTTTGCGGCTTGCGGCAAACAACTTTGTACATTGCTCATGTTCCCGCCCATTTGCTGTTCATTTCAGTCAGTAAGCTTTTCAGGGATTTTTCACTGGCGCCGTGGGAAAACTAGCAGGCTTAGAGCTGCCATCCATAGGTCGCATTATTTCTGCACAACACGCCGTCATGTACCCTGGGACAACAATTGGGCGCAAAGAGCGTCCCTGCACATGAACCAAACTGCTTCCCCCAAAAAAAATCGGGCCACACTTGCTGCTTCTAGAATCTTTTTAGAAAGGTCACATTGGGAAACAGCCACCGCATCCGCACCTCTTCCGTGCCAGCCTTTGCTGCGGCGCAGGCACCACGGATGCCGGTCGCGCCGCCCGCGTCAAAACGTCAGGCTCTGCGTGGGAACCCACGCAAAAGGAGAGCGGCGCGAAGCCTCGCACGGCAGCATGCGACTGGATGGGAAGCGGGGCAACTATTTGCCACGCAAAGCAAAAATGTGCTCACAAACACGGGGTTGGAAAAATAAGGCAGGGCAGTGGACCTCGCCCCCACCCGAAGATCCGGCTGGTCTCAACTGCTGCAGATAAGCAGAAACCCGGCAACTTTCCCCTGTAGCACTCTGCAATTCGCCCAACTGCATGCCTGCCCGAATGAAACTGCAGCTAAGATTGTGTAAATTCCAGGCCAGACAAGGAAGAGTTTGAACGTATCTATCTCATAATGTTCATGGAACTGGCCGTGACCCCTGCAGCCAAACTGCGTTGTCGACTCCCAACTCGCGTCTATTCTTCCCACGCGTGCCTTGTGACCCCCCTATGCACTGCATCGAACCGCGCACACCGACTGCGGTCTCGACTTTTGGCTTGCCTTCATGCAACGGCTGCAAAGGCACATGTACGGACACGCTGCCAGCATCCTCTGTGTCCAAGTGTGCGTTCTGCGCCCCCGCGTTGGGGGACACAGTGATGACCATGGCGCTTTCCAGCCTAAGGCCACTTGGGTCATGGCCGATCGATATAGAAACCCGACACACACAAGGAACAGTGCTCACAAGGCAGCCCCCAGCACTTGACAAGGCGGTGAGAAGCTGAAAGTTGTCCATGCTTTCATGGATTCGCTGGCCAATAATTCCTGTCTTGCTATGCACAGACCGCGCTTTTCCTCTGTTCCTTGATTCAAAGGGGCTTCGGTAACCCCATGTTCACAACTCAACGGGCTCCCCCTCGCTACTCGTGGCGAAAAGCCCCCCCGTGGGATTATTTACCCACTCCAACAGTCCTTGCGAAAAGATGCCTTTGCATCCGCAAGCCTCCGCTCAAGCCCCTCATTAATTTGTTGACCGCCTGCATCATCTCCCAATAACTCTGCTTCATCTGCCTCTGCGCCCAACCGCGTCCACGGTTGTGAACTGCAGCTCGTCTCGACAATCCTGCCCGCACAGCTTGGTTTGACCTTGTCCCTTCCGCGGCCTCCGCAATGGTCCTTCCCTCCAACCAGGCGGTGCTCGCAGTTGCCTTGCCAGATGCTGCACCATCTCTCTCCGTCCATGTTCCCGTTGTGCCCGGCACAGATCCTCTTCACCAGCCTCCGACTTTGATGAAGAGCTGTCAAACTGCTCAAACCCCTCGCACCGTCATTCTTCACCATTGGTCGTAGGCGACCTTTGTCTCCTTCTTGTGCACCTCGACCCTTGGATACTCTCCAATCCGGTCCATCGATGCAGTGATCTTCATCAGCCTTTTCGCACACCCAAAAGTTCCCTTGGCCGTCTCCTTCGCAACGAGCAGCGCACCAATCACCATAAGGATCAACCTTACTCATGGTTTCCGGGCTGATGCCATCCACTCCAGCCATGAGGCTGGCTCCCAGTGCGACCATGGCTTTTGCCCTACCCAGCAAAAGGCAGCCCTTTGAACAATTTGAAACAGCTGCGGTTCTCGGGCCTTCACTTGGAGGGGGTTTTCCCACTTTCTTGCCTTCTCGGCTCCATCTCCTTTGCCGTTGAGCTCAAGGGCCTGAGTGCACACCCACCACCACCTGGATCTTTCCAGCATTCCTTCACCGCATTCTTGATTTTCGTGACCAATCCCGGTGCCCACGCCACCTCTTTGTCTGTGCAATTCTTTCGGACAGATCTCCAGACCAAGCTTCTCCTCCTTGCCCAGGAGAAGGAAACGGTTGAAGGAGACGCCGTGCTGTGGCTGCGAATGATGACTATATATGTCGTGGCGGAGGAAACAGCCCGGAGGCAAGGGAAGGGAACGGTGGGCTTCGTGAAGGACAGCCGCGAGGTCCTGGAGACTACCGGGTGGATGTGCATCGCGACCAATTCGTGAGTCTATGGCGGTTTGAGGACCACCACTCTACCCGTACACATCGTCACTATGAAGATCTTGCGCAGGGTCGTTGACCCGCAGATCACCAACATACCGTCTTCCTCCACCAGATCCCGCCACTTCTTTCCCTCCCCGGAGCACGGGCGCACGTGGATCTTCTTTGCCCTTTCTATCGTTCATCTTCTCCATGGCTGTCAAACTCCTGTTAGACCGCCAGCTTCGCCAGGATGTGGTCTGGGACATCCACATAGAACTCCTTCAGCGCTCTCAACATCACTTCCTTCAACAGCGACAACTTCCAGTTCAGCTGTTCCATCGGGCAGCCACCCACCATTGTAACCTCGATTGGCGTTCCCTGGTACGCCGCTGAGCACTTGCCATTGCCAGTTCACCACGTGCCCGGTTTCCGTCATGGCGCCCATCGGAACCATCGTCAAGGTGCCCGGTTTGCTCCGCATCAAAGTGCGTGACCCATCCGCCAAGCAGACCTCTACCAGCTCTGCCTGATTCCACTCCTCAGCTGTTTTCCACGGTCTCAACGCACGCGTAGCTCCTCCGTTCAGCAACTCCAACCTGCTTCATCACAATGACGTAGAGATCGAAGAAGACCCGGCGCTTCCGCCAACAACTCCCCCGTTCCTCCACTTGAGATCACCCCTGCATCGCCACCTCCGATAGTAGCCGCCGTCGATGAAGAAACTTCCAATCTTTCCACCTCCTCCCCCCAAGCCGACACCCGGCTCGCAAATTGCCGCCTTCACGGCCGGCTTTGGGGTTGGCTTTGTCGCACCTTTCACAGGGCACTCGCTTCTTCTGTGTCCTTTTCCACCGCAAATCCAGCACCGCTCCGCTTTGTCGGCCACGCCATCCCATTCATGCGGCCACTTGCAGTTCTTTCCTGCTCTGCATCCATTCTCCGACATGAACAACCTGCAATTCTTCTGACCAACATCCTTCTTTGCCAAGGTGGGTCCCTGCTCCGTTCCACCGGCCGCCGTTGTTCCACCGCCACTCATGGCTTTCACCTTTGCCTGCTGCGGTCGCCGTGTCCAGCTCTGCCAAAAGCAGCTCGGGCAATATCAAGGCCAAGCATCGATCTCGCCTGGGCCACCCGGAAAGCCTGCGCGCCCCCCTTGTTGATCAGCTGCGCCACCCTCTCCAATGCCGCTGCCAGCAACATAGGATCCGGCAATGATGCCTGAATCTCCTGCGCCCTTTGATAGTACTTCGCTATTCTCGCAAGGCCGTGGCCGCTTCTGACACTCCTCGCAGCGGCCCCAAGTCCGTGAGCTTCTTGAGGATTAGCGAACTCTTTCCCGGACCTCTAGGCTGGAATGTGACCAACAGCCTATAAAGGACTCTGGTAAACGTCAGATCTCTGGGCGCTACCAGCTCTCTTCTGATCTCCTCAAGGATGCCCCTCAAGAGTAGCGTCAGTCCTCTCTGTTCCGTCGCGTCTTCAGCCGCTCCGGTACCGTGATCTGAAGCCGTTCCAAGCGTCGACCTTTCCGGCCCACCATTGCGAGAGATCGCTCATCTGAGGCCCCACCAGCGCCAGCCAATCCCCAAGTGGGAACGGGGAATGGTCATTGGCCAGCTCCGGCGACCAGATTCGACCTGCTCCGGCCACTTCTCGTTGCCCTTCCCACAACTTCCAACCATCCCAAATGGGTGCATTCCGCCTTGGGGTTCCATCCGTCATATCCCCAATGGTGGTAGTCTTGGTCTCCTTTTCCGACCATCTGCAACTGCAATGGAGGTTCATGCTCCGGCAGCCTGTACCCCAGGCGTCCTCAATAAGCTCCTTGTCGGTGACCTGGATCTTCTGCCCGGTTTCACAATGTGGTGGTGGTGGTGGGGGCGCCGATGCACTTGGCGTTGCAAAGACTGACCTCATCCATGGGAGTTTGAAACCTTGGCTCCTCCTGCTCCCGATGCCTCTACCCTCCGCCTCCTCTTGCCACTTCCTCACCTCCTTGCGTAGTCCTTTGATGATCCCAAACAGATAATCTCTCTGTTTCTCCATCCCCCGGAACTTTCTGCATGCTTTCATGAAGTTCTTCTCCACCTCGTCATCGGGCGGTTGGGGTCGTTCTGGGATCCAGACCTTAAACTCATCGTTCCAGAACCAGTCCAGGTTCAGCGGAGTGCTCCCACTTCTCCTCTTGCCCCTCGCTCCTAGTCCTTCTGGATCTCGTGAGGCCTCTTCTCCCGGAACCGCCCTTTCCGTTCTTCTGCACTCCTCTTCCCACAGCCGCTGATCCCGTAACTCTGGATCCTCCTCTTCCACCGGAAGTCGAAGTTCTCGCTCTTGCCGTCGAACGCCACCCTCACCTGGTTGTAGAGCTCGACCCCGAGGTCCAACACCTTCTTCCCTCCTTTGCCGTTGGGGAATTCCACCATCTGCCCGTAGAGCTCCGTGATCATGTTGAAGAGCTCCGCCGTCACCTCGCTGTACTGCTCCCCGACCATGTCCTCCAGCTCCTTCTTTTTTCGCCTGTGGAACCCAAGATAGATCTCCACCATTCGCTATTCTTGCGCCTTCCAGTTCCATCACGAGGTCTCTCTTCATCTCACTCCAGAACTCACTTCGCTGGCTGCTCGCCGCCTCCGGGTGCCCACCAATCTCCCGACCATGCCCAGGAAGATCTCCCGCGGGAGGGCCCCCATCTCCATTGTTCTCTTCCCTCGCGATCTCGATCATCGTCGAGTTCTCGGATCCAGGGACCTTGGGCAAGTCTTCCGGCCTCATAGCCTGCAGATATGCTTCATCTACAGCCCGTTGGCTCCAGAAAGGATTTACATCCGCCCGCCGTTCCCCGCTTTTTCCTGGCCTTCCCCGAGCGTCTCGCCCTTCACAAATTCCTCCGCCTCCTGGATGGCTCTCCTCCTCCGGATTCCCTGCTCGGCGACCATGATGCCTGGGTCTGTTCTCCGCCTTCTCATCCCCGCATCCATTGCGAGGCTCAGCACCGGGTTGGGCTCATAACCCTTGCTATGCGCAGACGCGCTTTTCCTCTGTTCCTTGATTCAAAGGAGCTTCGGCAACCCCATGTTCACAACTCAACGGGCCTGTATTTGCGGACCGGCACGTGCGGCCCTTTGGCTCTCCAAAGCACAAGGAGTCTCACGTGCAATTTGGGGCGGCATGGTGCGGCAAAGCAGCTCAAAATTATCTCCAAGGTAGTTTGCGAGCACCTCCCTCAAGGCCTCATCCCTGCCCAGCAGAGGTAGACTTCTGAAGGGCTCCTGGCTGGCCGAGAATGGTTGAGAGCAAAGCAGTTGCAGCCATGAAGGGAAGAACGCGCACACAGAGGCGGTCAGAACATGCTGCTGGCAAAGCCAGACTGAAGGACCATCCAAAAACCAAGTCCGCCTGGGACATGCGGATATGCAACAAAATGGGCACTCAGGAAATGAGGTTCGATAACAGGCGAATGTCGTTACTTTAGTGGAATCTGCGGCCTCTTGGAAAGAACGAGGACTGGGTCAGTGAGAGGGGACGAGGCGTTCAATGCTCTGCTCCTGATACGGCAAATGCACCGGAGTTCGGGCAACGCGAAGATCGCCAAATCTCAGTGCCTGAGCTTGTTCACAAGTACAACATTCTTGCTGCTCCTACGGTGTGCAATCTGCTGGCTGCGCAGGACTGTAGACTGGAGCAAAACAGAAAACAAGTACAGCGTGGGTCCTTAAAAGCGAATCCAAGAAACCAATCTGTTGCCGCCAGGCAGCATGCGTTTTCTGCCGCCTCTCCAAACCTCTGCAAACAATGAATACAGCATCGACTGGATCACGCACAGAGGCACTAAGTGGCCCTTTGCTCTGAAATTCAACTGGCTAACACTGACTCCTGCAATTCCAGGCGCCGTGGCGGACAATCCTGACACTGTCAGGCTGCGCCTATGAATGCCTTGAGCACTGCCTCCAGCATGTCTGCCTGCCATGAGGACAGCGAAACATGTTGCGGCCAATGCTTGTGATCTGTGTGAGGAACTGCGCAAATCCTTGACAACTACCATTCTGTACAGCTAGCGATGCAGAATGCCTTGAATTATATTAAAGGCAACAAGATCTGCAAGCAACTGTTGGACTGGCACAGTAAAAGGATTCAGTTCTCTCCCTTTTTTCTCTCTCTCTCTCTCCTCTCTCACTCTCTGTTTGTGACACACGTTACCCACCTCGAAGGCTGCCGGCAGGACTGCCACTCCCTGCTCCTGCAGCACTTGAGATGTGCCAGATGAAGCGCACAGCTCCCGAAGCCTGCGTACGAGAACATCTAGGAGGGGTGCGACACTCGCATCCAACCGTCGCAGTTGACCCTACCCCGCTTCCACCGCGGAACGCGCCATACCGCCCTACCCCTTTTACACTTCCGTCCTGGGGCCATGCGAAATCCAAGCGTCACATTTAATCCTACCCCATACAGGCTTTGGTTTTACGGTTTGCGGGGACCAGGTTTTTGGCTGAAGTTTTCTTTTTCCAGCTTCGGTCTTTTGTCTTCTGGATCTAAGGTTTAGGTAGAGGTTTGGTGCCAATTTCACGACACGTTTGAATCTACCCCGGCGTTGGCAGGGTCACAGCCGACAGAGATTGGGCTCGAATGCAACCAGTCTGCCGCTAGAAGGTGGGGCAGTTGGGTGTACAAATGCTCGACCCTTGCTGCATACTCTCGTAGACCATCAGGGTGGCCTTTGACGAGACTTTTTTGGTGACCTGCTGCAGCCTTCAACATTTGCTCTGACGAGCGTCCCCAAACCGCACAGCTGGAACAGGTGCGACCCATCTATCCCGTTGCGAGCCTGGACATGGTCCAGGCGGGCTGCACCCTCGTGGGGCTAGACGCCTGCTTGACCGCATGGTGCAAGTTGTGCAGAGCAAGCCCAATGCTTGCGCTGCATTGTTCAGCAATTTCAGCACACTAAGCTTCAGCAAATGCACGACTGCACGTCCATCATGCCATTTTAACGCACTCAATTAGCTACAGCACTGTTCTTTGGGAGGTCGTCTAACCCATTCACCAGAACTCTGGCAAGTATGTTCTGAAGCTCGTTTCTGTCCACAGTCCATGAAAAGGTCATGGAGATGACTGCAAAGAAGCGCAGGAGACATCAGCTCGATGCAAACCCCACCTTGAGCCTTGGCACTGCAGCTCTCCTCAGGGGATTGGAGCATGCTTGAAAATTGGCATGGTGCCTGGCGCTCGGTGAGAGCAAGCATCAGAGGTGCTGAACGGCTTGGAGCAACAAGGCAGCAGCTTTAGCCAACTCCCAGCGCCTCAATACCAATAGACATCCCGCTTTTAGCAAACTGTTGCCAACGTGCTGGAAGCATTCACAACCACGGATTTCATGACCGCGCAGGTAAGGTCACTCAGCACGCGCCAGTCAATTTGCTGACCTGGTCGCCACGCCCCTCCTAACACTCCAGCACGTCTCCAGGCCAAGCGCAGCAAGCGCCAGCAAGCCGCACCAGGCTCTACTGGTGGGCAATGACACAGCTGACGAAGCAAGGATCATACGCCCCACGCGGAAAATTATTCTGCACATGCACGTGTACATGTAACGTGTATGTCAACGCAAATGTGAATGCATATAGGAATGCATATAGTACATGGCGCCAAATACAGTAAGGTGTCGCTATCACTTCTCTCTATCCCCAAAATAAACAATTGTGCCTAATACACCAAAATGTAGTTACCTCTCAAAAAATATCCGGACGCGACAGTGTCTCCAACCCTTGTCAGCCCCACCCTGCGTCAATTCGAAACCATACCCATGCCCCAAAATGTCGTAGACGGGCCCACATCCCCAATGGTGGAAATGAAAAAGGCGTACCCAATTATGCAAACTTTTTCCAGGCCGAAAAAAAAGAAGCTAAAACTAAACTAGTACTAAACCAATACAAACCAATACTATGCCAGCACTAAGGCAAAGCCAGTACCAAGGCAGCACAAAGCAATACTAAATAGAACTGAGCCAGCTCAAGCGCATATATGCCCAAACGATTCAGAACCAGTGCTAGGCGCAGACTGCAAACGAGGACCGAAGACAACAGAAGCAATACCAAGCCAATTCTAAACTAGTACAAATACTAAGCCAGTAGCAAGGCAGCACGAAGAAATACTAAACTAACCCATACCAAGCGAGTGCTAAAGCAGCACAAACCAATACACAACCAACACTAACCAATACTAAACCGGTACTAAACTTGGGAAAGGCCCATCTGACTACGGGTTTCCCTGTTGGGGCTCCAAGATTTGCTTGGGGAGGGCTTTTTTCAGGCACCCACATTATTGCATTATATAATAATCATTAATAAACATAGCATAATAACAAACAAGTAAAAGTAGGATACGTATATATATGTATGTATCTATATATCATTGTGCGTTTGCTAACTGGCCAGTTTGACGCAACAAAATGCGCTCCAGGTACTGTTCGCATGCCCTCTGCTGGATCCCGCGACCTCGCTAGCTTCAGCCAAGTTGCCGAGTTGGGCTGCGCCAGCACAAGTCCTGAATGAGCCCCCAAACAAAACCGAATTGCCACGCGGCAGACTCAAGCACATGTGGGAGAGCTACCAAGCTCAGAGGCACGCACGCCCCTCCTCAGAAGTTCGGCATCTCTTAGGCCCATCCCATTCGGAGCGCATTGCGAACGAGCGATCAGGACTTAAATCGTGGTTTGCTCACTGCGAAAGCATAGGCCTTGCCATCCCCAAGAACCCTCTTGTTGGTCTGGCGATTAGCTCCCTTCTGCCCCATGCTAAGTGCCCAAGATGCGAATTCAGAAGTGCTAATTTGGATGCTGTGAAGCCATTCTTCTAAACGGCTACGAAGCCCAACCTCCAGCAAACGTTGGTGAGCGCATGACGAAGCTACATCTCCCTTGTTTGCCCCATTCAGCATGCAAAGCCCAAATGGCCGCGCAAATCGAAGTTGCCGCTCCAGGTTGCTCAGCTTTTGCCAGCCACGCTACGCGCGCAGCATCTAGTACAGCCTGCGGCAACTAGGCTCCAAACAAATCGGTGGATCCGTGGGTGACTCCGCCTCCGCCTGGTAGCAGTTCGGTGGTTGCCTATGGCCATATGGCCGATACAACCGAGAGATCATGCTGGCTTGGCCGTACGCATTGGTGCACGGAAGGCTCGTTTTGCTTGGCTTGCATGAATTCTTTTGACCTGCTCCGCACAAGGCACCTGGGCCTGCTGAATCAATGACGACCTCAGCAATCCAATAGGAAATACTGCTGCAACACAAGCAGCATCTCATGCAAGCCCATGCGACCTTTCAAATAGATCGGGCAGGTGAAGCACACGCTTCGCTAAGCCGCCAACAAACCATCTTGTGCACCTGCCTCCTCCTCCTCCTCCAAAAAGTTTGCACGCTTGTGGCCGTCTCAATCATAACTGACAAACTCTTTAACACCCGCACCTGGATCAACCTTCTCAAAGACAGTGGCAATGACCGCCCATAAAGAAGCAGTTCATTCAGCGGAAACTACAAACTTCCTCAACGTCCCCACCGCCAATCTGAAGGTCTTCAGGCCAAGATATCCTGGCACCGGGCGTTGCAAACAACATGCCAGTGTGTGTGTGTGTGTGTGTCTGTCTGTGTGTCTGTGTGTGTCTGTGTGTGTGTGTCTGTGTGTGTCTGTGTGTGTCTGTGTGTGTCTGTGTGTGTCTGTGTGTGTCCGTGTGTGTCTCTGCGTGTCTGCGTGTCTGCGTGTCTGCGTGTCTGCGTGTCTGCGTGTCTGCGTGTCTGCGTGTCTGCGTGTCTGCGTGTCTGCGTGTCTGCGTGTCTGCGTGTCTGCTGTGTCTGCGTGTCTGTGTCTGCGTGTGTCTCTGTGTCTCTGTGTCTCTGTGTCTCTGTGTCTCTTGTGTGTCAGTGTCTCTGTGTCTCTGTGTCTCTGTGTCTCTGTGTCTCTGTGTCTCTGTGTCTCTGTGTCTCTGTGTCTCTGTGTCTCCTCTGTGTCTCTTTGTGTCAGTGTCTCTGTGTCTCTGTGTCTCTGTGTGTCTGTGTCCGTGTCTGTGTGTGTCTGTGTGTGTGTGTCTCTGTGTGCGCGCGTGCGTGTGCGTGTGCGTGCGCGCGTGCGCGTGCGCGTGCGCGTGTGCGTTTGCGTGTGCGTGTGCGCGCGTGCGCGCGCGCGTGCGTGCGTGCGTGCGTGTGTTCGCCACCACGAGTGTGGGCGTGTGGGCGTGGCTAAGTGGGTAGTAGGTGAGTTGGTGAGTGGGTGTGCTGTGTGCGCGTGTTTGTGCTTTTCTTGTGTGGGCGTGTGATTGACATGTTGATTGGGTTTTGCTTGTGTTTGTGTTTGTGTTTGTGCTTGTGTGCGTGTGTGTTATTTTTTGAGGGTGGATTGAGGCAAAACCAAAAGGGACAACGCACCCGTGGGTTCCCCTGCATTTTGACACATACCCACACGAATCTAAGAAATACCCCTGGCAAATGCTGACCTTTGATTGGGAAGCGAATGGAGGCGTCAGGGCCCTGAGCATTCAATCAGGTCCGCATGGCAATGTATTTGTGCCATGCGTTGCTCCATTGTGGCAAACCGTTGCGGAGAGTTGGAGCAACATGCAGCAACATGCAGCAAGGCTCGCGGTTTCATTCGCTGGTTGCAGGGCCTCTCAAAGCAGCAACAGCTTAGAGATTGCAAGCAGAATCCCGCCAAATCAAGTTGTGAGTGATATCTGCGCTTATGCCACCAAACAAAGTATTGGACATGAGCATCTCAGACATGCAGCTAAAGCCACATGGATGGAAGCAGCTCGACTAGTAAAACGGTTCAGCGATCCGGCCAAGTCCCACATTCTATCAAACGACCCTGGCCAGGAAAACGGGCGATTTGAAAACCAACAAGTTGAATTTGGAGGGAGCTACTCACAATTGCTTTAACATTCTGACAATAAAGCCTCCTGCAAAACAAAACACGGCAAACGATAAGAATCACTTCTGGGCATAGCAAGCCTACGCTAACAAGTACCCCTAGGTGGCACTCTTTGCCAGCACACGCTTGACAGTGGAATTGACGCGTTCCCTGCATCATACATGCCCTGTAACATGCGCGGCGTATTGGTACGCAAATTGGACCAACAACGCCACAATTAATTGCATTATATAATTGCTGGGGGCTGCAAGCACTCGCAAGGAATGACACATACGTTGCATGACGATCACGTGCAAATGCTTGGATGCCACATCAACATCAATTGTGATGCCAGTCAACAACAAATCAGAATCGAGCACTTGCTCTAGGCAAGACACCTTCTCGCCAGCAAAGCTCCACGGCGCTCGCCTCAAGACCTCGCCGCCCCCAAAGGCATGGCAGCAGGCCACCAGAAGGCAGCCACCTCAAGCCCCAGCCACGCTTACGCCTTTGTGATAAATCCGATCTCAGTTAAAACCAGCATGGTTTCATGAATCAGGTGGCAACATGGTGCAGGCCAAATGCTTCGCAGAGAGATGGGGCGTTGCGCAAGGTCAGGTGCTGGCCTAGGCCTGTTCAAGGCATCTTGGCAGCTGGCAGCTAGAGGGTTGTGAGTGGAATGGAAATCTCACCAACTGAAGTAGACAGAGCAACATCATTACGTGACGAACGCAAGAGTTCGGACATTCTGCGCAGCGTGCCAGGGTAGGAATCAAGTCGGCTGCGCTTTTAAGAAGAGCTCTGAGCACGCTGCTGCCCTCAACACAAGCTGCAGCCGCTCCCAAGGGTGGCATGACACACAGGCCTTGGTTGCCAGACTGCCTGCAACGCACTGTCTCCAGCAAATGTCCAGCACCAAACAATCCGTCAGGCAAAAGACTGAACACCTATACCAAGCCAGGCCGCGATCTGCATTTCGCCGGTGGCCCACCGCGGCAAACAAAGCCTCTGAGGAAACCTAGGGAACAGCCGGAGAAAGCTGGAAGCCGCCTGCCTCCCGCATCTGCTAGAGCAAGTCGTACCCCTTATTGCTGTTGATGGCGGCAGTCAGCCCAATAAGATTTGCGTACTGCTTTCAAAACTTGCACATGGGGGTAAGCCTGGAATAGCAAAAAAATGTGCGCGCTCAAACCAGAGCAACCTCAACCGATCTCGGCGTCGGGCCAAACAAAAAGATCACTGCGCCACCCGAAGAATGAGATGCCCGGCTTCGGAGGCCAAGGCTCCCGCCACCACCGTGGCCGTGCCCTTCAGGCCCAAGCCCCGAGGCCCTGAGAGGTACAAGTGTTACAAGAGCGTATTCCAAAGCTTCACCCATCTTCACCCCTGGACTCCTACATTGAATTCCCAGCTGGCTTGCTGTGTGACCCTTTGGGGTGGTCATGCATGCGTCGGACTGCTTGGCAGTAAGGCTAGAACAACTCAACATCGAACAAAAAAATATATTAACCAGTATGCCACTTACCCGCTAATGATTTAGAGAGTCCTAAGACTCCCGTTCAATGACCCTAACATCACATTGGAAGAAGGCAGCAGGGGCATCAACAGTCGCCCTGTATCCTAAGTTAACACTAAGGAACAGATTCCGAGCTTGAGGAATCAACTTGACGTTCTCCTGGCGCCCGGACGCGTCACGCCAGGATTCAGGATGGGAGCCGGGACACGCGCAGGTGGGCCCACTCGTGGGCTATGTGGTGGCCAAGGGTCCGGCCCTGCCCCCGACATCCAGCCTGAGCAGCTTAGTCGCACGGTCGATCGACTGGCGCCAAACAGGGCTGTGGGGCGCCCACTGAAACTAGAAGCGTCGCGGCTCATGATGAGCAAAGCAAGATCCAGCTGCAGAACTATGAGTAGCACGCAGATACATATTGGTTTTTAAATCCGTCACGCCGAAAATCCATGGGGCCGCTTCCTGTTTTCTTGTCTTTCTGCTGGAGGAGCTGCGGAGTTGGCCCGCACAAACATGAGATGCAACAAACCTGCAACTACTATAAGTGAACGCAGCTGTGAACCGATTCCGCTTACAATTCAAAGAGTTGCCTACCTCAATCACGTCTAGCATGCATCTATCGCGATCCTAGCGCTGCTGGTGTGATTGACGTGACTCTAGAAAGGGCCGCGCCCTTTACCGAATGCATAAAAGCCGCCACTGAGACCCTGGCAAATCACAACACATTGCAGCTATCCAACTCTAACATCCAGATTGCTCACAAAACAACTTGACCACACCTCTCTTCGTTGCATTTGACTGGCACCGTCACTGCGATTAACAAACTGTCATCAAAATTGCCTCTATATATTCTCCAGCGAGCTCGCTACATTCCTTGCAAACAGTGCGCATGGGACACCCTGAGCCAGCCAGGTGTTGCTGGGGGCTCGACGGCGGCCACTGCAAGGGCCTCTGTGTCGTGCCTCAGCTTAGGTGAGCGCCATCCCCCTCCGTCCTCGCAACACAACCGGGCTTGATCTACCTGCTTGCACATCAACAACCGGTTTTTCGCGAATGCGCAGCGGCACCGCTTGAGGCGCAAATGGGCAACAAAATCAACACATACAGCATGAGCTTCTCATGATTTGCGCTTGTCAGCGTGCCATACCGCCATGTGCTTGCTCGATGTGACGCGGGAAGCCAACAGCATCCTTCAAAAGAAGTAAAGTTCCACTTTAAAGCATTTCAGAAGCCGCTTGTGTTTAGGAGCTTGCTGCCAGCCATGCCAGCCAGCAGTGCTGGAAGTCTAGCAAGCAAAAC